TAATTAAATAGTACATAAGATATGTACTATATATAGTAAGGTTCAAACAGGAGATCATTTGATTGTAGGGAATAGATTAATTCATTACATTACCTCTAATGGAAAAAATGATTTGGTTTTCAAACAAACTCCTACAATGAATTAAGTTTGAGAACAGGGGTTCCTTACTTTTGTGTTTTGAGAGTCACTTTGGGTACTAGGTTTATATTTACTGTACGATACAAGTGTAGTAGCTTTCCATCTATTTTTGTATTATAATGTTTGGCATTTCAATCATATGTAAATGTTTTAAAGAATTTAAAAAGAAAGTATATGTGCAAAATCCTTGAGGGGAAGCTATTAATAAATTTTTCAATTTATATTTTAACTAGAGGCCCAGTGCATGAAATTCTTACATGTGGGTGTGTGTCCCTCAGCCCAGCCTGCACCCTCTCCAATCTGGGATCCGTCTCAGAGTCCAGGATTGCTGTCTTCCAACTGCTCATCTAACTGCCTTCCTAATTGCTCCTAACTACTTCTGCCTGCTGACTTTTTAAAAAATATATATTTTATTGATTTTTTACAGAGAGGAAGAGAGAGAGATAGAGAGTTAGAAACATCGATGAGAGAGAAACATCGATCAGCCACCTCCTGCACACCCCCCACTGGGGATGTGCCCATAACCAAGGCACATGTCCTTGACCAGCATCGAACCTGGGACTCCTCAGTCTGCAGGCCGACACTCTATCCACTGAGCCAAACCGGTTTCGGCTAACATCACTTTTTCACTAAAATCTTAAACTGACTGCATTACTTTATAGACTCTCCATATACTATTGATTTCTTCTAACTTACAGTTACCTAGCATATTTTTAAAATTAATAAAAGTAAAGATCCAGTTTCAGATTACTCAAATGATTACTCAGGAAGAGGGAAACTTGTTGTGTGGGAAGAATATTAAAACTTGGTCCTTTTGGCACAATGTTAACCATGATAAATGAATACATTAAGTTTGGTTAATTTCTTTATTAACGAGCTGGGGGTTAAGGAGAAAAGATACCCTAAGGCAGTATTCCCAAACTTGGCTACACATTGGCATTATCTGGGGAGCTGTAAGAATTCCACTGCCCAGGTTGCACCCCAGACCTATTCCACCGGAGTATCTGGGTGTGGAAGGCATCGGTACTATCTTATATTTCCCAGGTGGTTGCCATGGCAACAAAGTCTGGGACCCACTGCCCTGCAGCCTTGTGTTTTCAAAGTCTGGGACCCACTGCCCTGCCTAGTCCACAAGAGAGGATGTTGTCCCAAAAGATGCTTTTGACTCACCAGAGTGACTTGTGAAACTGCTGTTTCCCGACTTTATCAGACTTAGTCTGCTCTCTTTTCTTTCCTTAACAATTAACTGTCGAATCTGACAGGAGGGAGAGCGAGGGGAGAGCTCCAGTTCTGGACACAGTGACCAGGGAAGGTCTCACTGAGATAGTGACATGAGTGAGCACCTGTAGGAGGTGAGGGACACATCGTGTGCCCATCTGGGCAGAGTGTTCAGGCAGAGAGGACTGCGTGTGCAGAGGCCCGGAGGCAGGAGCATGCTGCACAGCCAAGGTCACTGAAGAAGATGCCAGACCAGAGCGGAAGTGGGAGGAGGACAAGGAGGCCAGAAGGAAATGGGGTGCCTTGCTTTAGGTCCTTGAAGGACTCTGGCTTTGTGTGAAACAGGTCATTGGAGGATTTCGAGCGGAGGCATGACATCATCCATCCCACCTTCTCACAGCCCATGCTGGCTGCTGTGATGGGAACAGGACACCAGGCTTCAGAGCAGGAAACAGCAAGGGGCTGTTGTGAACTGTGCCTGGAAGATACACGCTTGAGACCACCACTTCTCCTGAGAGTCTGGCTTCCTCAGGGAAAAAAAAACACAGGCTAAACCCTATTTTGAACTTTGTTAACTCATTTGTGCTCACGAAACCCTATGCCGGGGATGTGACCAGCACAGGCCTTCAAATAAGCCCAGCCGTCTGCTGTCCCATCCCTGAGGACACTGCTCCTGCTCCCCGGTCCCTCTGCAGGGACATTGGTCTCGGGTTTCCTCCTGGGGATGGCTGTTCTCCTGGGAGCCAGCTTGTTTTCCTCTTTTTTGCATTATTCATCGTATTGTGTCTCCCTACTTGCTTTTGTTGGCAAACGGTTTACCTCTGTCTAGCAAGAGTACAGGGCCACATGGCTGCTGCATCCATTTTCTCCTACCCTTATTCTCATATACCTCATCGAAAAGAGAGCTTTTATTCTCGTTTACTTTTGTGAGTCACTTTTAGGGCAGTGAGCTACAAACAAGCAATACAGGATGCAAATGCATCCCTTAAAGAGAAGAAGAAAGAAATCCATTTTGAAGTTTATGACATCTGTATTCTATTTTTGTTTCCATGAGTGGAAAAAAATATATCTGCATGCACACACTGGATTTTCAGAATGAAGCCGTCGGTGGCTAATGCATGACTGAAGAATCCTTATGCCCTTGACGGGTTTCAGTGCTGCCAGCCGATCTCCACCCAGAGTTTCTAAATTTATTGTTTTATCTTTCAGCAGCATGTGTCCGGGGTGCTGCAGTGAGGTCAGTCATTGGGACCAATAGGACAATTTGACAAAAATACACTTTCCAGCCCCCGCAACTCATTCTGACTAACTAAGGGTTGAAAACTTATTTGAAAATACTTTTGCACAAACTATATTTTCTGAGACCTTGGGTATTTGAAAATATCTTTTTGTTGTCTTTATTGTTGCACAACTACTTTGTTGGATGTACAAATGCAGTCCTAAAATTCTGAGTGCTGCTTGGGTGTCATTGGAAGCTTACAGTGCACAATGCAAGTCTAGTTGCATTAATTGTAACCCTCTCCCCACCCTGACACTTTATTTTTTACTTTATTTTAATACTTGATGTTTACAAGAAACAAAGTCATACTTCACAGCATTGGTTTCCAAGAGCTGGCCACCCGTTTTCCCTTTGAAGCCCACGTCTTTTTTTTTTTTTTTTTTTTTCATATCTAGAAAGTGTGTTCTTATTATGTCCTGGCTGAACTGATGATCTCACCTGCACTTCCCTCTGGAACACATTTTGTTCACAGGTTGGATCTCTGTGATCTTCTCTCCATTGATCTTTTCTTAAGTGTCATGTTTTTCCTCCCCGTCCCCATTGTTCCTGTTTCTGGGATGATGTCTCGGTTTTGTTCTCTGCGTCGAGCTCAGTTCTCAGCAGAGTCACCACAGCCTTTCAGCAGTGTGGCTCTGACTTGGCTTTGGGCTCCCGGATTTTCATTTCATCAACACCCTTCTCATTTCTGCACTTTCTTGTTAAAAAACAATATAAACATCACACTAATATGTAAAAAGCCAGGGGCCATCACGACCGAAACAACTGAAAGGCCAACCAAACACAGGCTGTGTGGGGTGACAAGGCCAGCAGGGGGCGTTAGTGAGGGATGACCAAATGACTGAACAGCAGGCTGAAGGGGGAATCAGGCTGGCAGGGGGGGCAATTCGGGGCAACCAGGCTGGGGGGGATGGGGCAGTGAGGGGTGACCAGGCCAGCAGGGGGGAGAGAGGCAGTGACGGGCATCCAGGCTGGCAGGCACAGGCAAAGCAGTCCTGGATTGTGAGAGGGATGTCCGACTGCTGGCTTAGGGGGCCCGGATTGGAGAGGGTGCAGGCTGGCACTCCCTCCCCAATGCACAAATTTTGTACACTGGGCCTCTAGTTTAAAATAGGAGGTAATTCTTTTCTGAAAAAAACCTTTTGTTCGTGAAGAGGAATCCTAGTCAGATGAGAAAATTTCCCTTTGAGCCATTGTCCTTTCTTCCCTTTTGTGCAGTAGGAACCCCTGCACGCCCATGGGCTTTAAATGAGCTTTTCCTGGGCACCTTATGCCTGAATAAGGAGTGATCTAACTGGGCCCAATGGGCGCTTTAAGGGGGAACTTCCGGTCTGTCCTCTTTCTTTGATTCATCCTGGGTGTCTATTGACTCACTACCACTCCTTCCCGTCACTGTGCATTAGATGACCCTTACTGCCTCCCATTTGGGGCAGAAAAAAGCCTCCCACTGTCAACAACTTAGCTCACTCAGCGCTCAGCAGCACACAGCACTTCAAGACACTGAATCAAATGTTTTAGGAAAATCTGCTAGAGAAAACCCCTTGGGAGAGGATATGACCTTGAAAGTGTCTCAAACCCTTGGCCCCCAGTAAGCCAGTCTCTTGCACGTAGGCCAAGCATTAAAACCCATCAGGGACTCAGAATGTTTCAGACTCACAAGTCTGATCTCAGTGGAAATATACATTCACCCTTGGCCAGCAGAACACAACAGTCATTTGAATTTTCTCTAATCCTTGGTTGTATTTCTCTTCCCTGTCTCCTCTCTCTTCTGCCACCTGGAAACGCTGGCTCTTTCTCCATCCAAGAAAGGTTGCTGATTTAGAAAGGAGGAATGTTTATCATGACACTTGGTAGAAGCGGAATTATAGACTTTTGATTCCTGAAGTTATGGGATGTGCGAACTTAGAAAACAGACAATGCAGTGGGCAGCCCTCTTCATTTTATCAGGAAGAAGACTTTAGAAATCCATCAAAGACATAAGGTTATCAGATTTGTTCCTAATTTTCTCTTAGCATCAGGGTTCCGAGGGTTACGGTGAGCTATTCCCAGACATTTTCAGAGACAAAATCCTCTGAGGCAACAAGGTGACTTTAAAGCGCTGCCTCCGATGGACACGTGACAGACCTCCTTAAACGGGCTCTCCTCGCCGGCCCTTCCTTCGCAGTGGCTCCAACAGCTTCCTTTAACGAGTCAGTTCAGCTGCTGAGATTAAACCAGGGAAGAATCGGCATGAAGGACTATGTCCAAAGTACAGGCAGTCCTTCTGCAAGGACTTCATCTCCCTTCAACCCTAACAGCTGTAAATCACCCGGTGCGAACATCACCACCCACTGAAAATAATATGTCTCTGTTTCCTTTCTCTTTCCAGGTTTGAGATTTTTAAGAGCTCTCAGACTGATCCAGTTTTCAGAAATTTTGCAGTTTCTGAATATCCTTAAGACGAGGTAAGATGTTCTTTGCTCCTTCCAGTCCCCAAAGGGAAGTTGTAACTATCAGGTGTGTTTCCATTTCATCAGGATAACCTTGAAGTTCCATTATTCACAGCAAGAGTGACGCGCCCCAGAGATCTGGGGAAAGCCCGGAGTAGGGATTGGGGTGCTCTCTCCGGCAGGTCCAGGGACTCCGTGGTAAAGAGCGGAACAGCTGTGCCTGTGTCCCCAGTTTTGGGACTTCGCTGGTGACTTGGAAGTCAGGAAATGAGCCCAGCATCCTGGGGAGAGGGGCGTAGCAGGTGAGAGATGCATCTGCTCATTGATTCGGAAGTCCTCGCTCCCAGCTCTAAATCACCCCTTTATTACATCACTACATAAGAAACTGAACCTGGCCGTAAAAGCAATAGAAGCAATGCTTGTGGAGAGGCAATCGCAAACCTCATATGGCAAACAGAAAATCATTTCATTTCCAAGTACATTTCAGATGTTCATTTTATAGCCAGCGTAGCCCCTGGGGCTGGCGCTGTGAATTGCCTTTTGGGAAATACCTGAACACCTCCTGCAAAACGCACCGCGGCTGTTCCCGTCATGATCTGGAAAACTCCACTGAGCCAGGAGGAAACATCGCCCAAGGTCCCTGTCCCGGTAACCTGCCCGGTCCCAGGGCTGGCCTGAGCCCAGGGCTGTCTTCATGAATAAACGGATAAAAGAAGTGAGACGTAGTCTAATGGGGAGTAAGTGCAGGCCATAAATTTCTCTTAGAGGAAATTACACTTTAAGAAGCTCGCTGCCAATGTTCCATTTCCTCATAACGTGTTTGATGAACGATTAGACACAGGGCCCCTCTGTGATGTGTGATGAACGCACCTGCCTTTGGGAGGCCTCGGGTTTGGCACCTGTTCTGGGTCTCCGCTTCCCCAGTCTGTCACGTCCAACAAAGGTGTCGGGCTGCTGGCTGTCCAACAAAGGTGTCGGGCTGCTGGCTTTCTTCTTCGGGTCTCCGTGGGCTTTGTTTGTTTACTTTGGTTCAAGTCCACACTGATTCCCCTCCCTCCACACTCCTCTGTGGAAATGCGAGGTCAGCCCACTTCCTCTCAGCCGAGCCAGAGTGAGCATTTGACCTAATGCCTTAGAAGTCTCCTATAGTGCGCCCCACCGTCCTCCACTACATACCCCACACCCGCCCTCTAGGGAAGAGGATGGAACATTGCTGACTTAGAGTGAATATTGCCCATTGTCCTAATTCCTCGGTGGAACAATAAACCTCATTTCCGCCTTCTCCTGGCTCTTCTATGCAGTGGACACTAACGGCTTTTATAATCGAAATTATGAACCTCTCCAGCAGTCCCCCCTGTGCTCCTACACTGGGCTTGCTCCACTGGCCTCCCATCGGGGGAGTTGGTGCTGACTGATCACAGGGGCTGTCTGTGGAGAGGGCTGCTTCTCCTAGAGGGAGCAGTGCTGGGTGGAGCCACCCACATTCTAACCTGGCACAGTGTCTCCTCTCCTGTCTACAACCACCTCATCCATTGGCAGTGTTAACCCTCTGACACCAGCATTTTGAGATGGTGTCATTACCCCAAGGAGTATCGCACCGTGGGGACAGTGGTGCTCTCACCATCCTTGTAATAGCGGCTCCTTTTCTGGACGTGGAGGACTGATGAGCCATCTGAATAAAATATCTCCTGCCCAGAGACCTTGGTCTCCAATTTCCCATGCCTAGAGCAGACTCTTTTCCTTTGGCTGTAAGCCACGGGGTTGGCATCTCTGGTGAACAGTCAGCTGATAACCCTTCAGTGCGGGTGGTCCATTCTTCTGGTGCCCAGGGAAAGAGTGAGACAGCGGCTGGGGTGAGAGGTGACTGTAGATCAGACAGAGTGGCCCCAGGCCAATGTTATGAGGTGCCAGGTTGCTGGGGTGTCGGCCACCCTGAACCCAAAGCATGTTTCCCAGACCTGCATCCTCACTTCCCACTGAGTGAAACCCTTAGAGTCAGGGGCACTTGCCATCACAACCCCACAGCTTGGATTGTGCCAGTTCCTGTTACGTTGGTCACAGGAAGGTGACAGAGTCCCTTCAAGCCTGACTCGAACGCCATCTGTGCCTGCAGCAGGTAGGGTGAGGCTGGCGTCCCGGGCCAGAAAGCTCCGTGGGGAGGGAAGCTGGCCCGGCCACTGGGGGGGTGGTGGGTTCTCAGAGCAGGAAAGCTGAGCTGAGCATGAGTGTGGGGCAGGCACGTATCTTTTCAAGGCAAGGGCCCGTCTAGGTAGGTAAGCTTTACAGAAAGCCAGGTGCCATTCTGGGGCCACTGGAGAAGGGGAGTGAGGGGGGTGTAAGGGAGGGAGGGACTGGCTTCCAGCCAGGAAGCTGCAGGAAGCAAGCAGGTGGGAGAACATAGCCCTTGGAGGGATTTCTGCTCCTGAGATTGGGGTTCTGTGGTGGAGACAAGGAAAGCAGAGATTAGGGGGGCAGCCAGGGCCAGGTCACCAGGCACAGGCTAAAACTTCATGTAATTGTTAGAACTCTGGGGACTCAGAATGGCCCTCTGGGCCTATTCTTCGGGTGCCCGGCTGACCTGGCCCCTTGCTTCTGTGCACCCCAAGCGCAGATCTCACACAGAAGGGACGCGTTGGTTTTTGTAGGGCTGTGGGCGTTTCTGGTGAAACCTCTGCACTCTGCTGAGTTCATGGGGACCTTCCCGCAGTGGGAAGGCCCATAGTCATCTTTAGGGGGTTGGTTTGGCTTTCTCTGCTGCTAAGTCCCTGCTGGTCTGTGGCATTAGGTGGGGATGGGGACTTTGTAAGTGTGATTGGAAGTGATGACTTGAAATTGCAGTTTCATTTTCTGTCCTTTGAGTGCCTTGCTTGGCCCAGAACTGGAAGAAACAGGGCAGAGAATTAGTGTGGGGGTGGGGCAGGAAGAGAGGGGGTGGATGGGGAGGATTAAGAGGGTAGCAGGAGGAAACCAGAGTGAACAGGATGGCAGAAAAGAACAGATGAAAGAAGAGATCAGTAATGCGACAGATCAGGGTCCTTACCCAAACTGCCGGCGTATAGGGGAACCCCACATGCCCCGGAACTGTACGGGCCTATTGAGGGGCACGGGGAGTCTGTGTTCCAGTCCAGACCGGTAAGAGGGCACTGACTCTGCAGTGAGAACTCAATAAGCTGCCGCCCGCACCTCAGCTAGTGCAGTAGATATTGACCGCTAGCACACGGGTCACATTGCAAATAATGATTTTCTCCAGAGGAAACCCAAGAGAAAATCCAGACAAATTGTCAGACTTAACAGATGTAGTAAGGTTCAAAGTCCCCAAATCAATTGCATCCTGTACACCAACAACAAACATTTATACAAAATGCATTTTCAAAGGTTATATTTAAAACAAAACTAAACTATGTAAGTATCCTAAGTAAATTTATCACTCATGCGGTAGACGTGATGGGGAAAATTATTTATTTAAAAAACCCAGATGTCTCATATCTGTTATTTGTCGCCCAGTGATAAGTGACCTTAAAACTCAGTGGCTCAAGTTGGTCTGTGGACTGAAAGGTCCCAGGTTCGATTCCTGTCAAGGGCATGTACATTGGTTGCTGGCACATCCCCGGTAGGGGGTGTGCAAGAGGCAGCTGGTCGATGTTTCTCTCATCGACGTTTCTAGCTCTCTCTCTCCCTTCCTCTCTGTAAAAAAATCAATAACATATATTTAAAACAACAACAACAACAACAAAAACTCAGTGGCTCAAAATAACAATCACTTTTTAAAGATTTCTGATGATGCTCTGGTCAGCTGGGTGGGTCCAGTGTAGTCAGGCATAACTGGCGGATGGCTGAGGTCAGCCGAGGGCCTAGCCTTGCAAATGACCGTGTGCTCAGCGTAAAAAGGCCTTTGTCTTTGGTGGTCAGGTCTTCTCATGGGCTCTCCTGCAGCTCTCCCCACAGCCAGGAGCACTGCTCAGAGCTCAGCCTGGGGCTAGGGAAGGGAGAGATGGGAGGAAGCATGGGAGAAGAGACACTTTAGACACTTTAAAAACAGCCCGATACATTTGAAACACAGCACGTTATTTAATATTCACACACTCCCCAAAAGCTCCACAGCCCTGTGATGTCGGTAGTGACAGATGAGGAAAGTGCAGCCAGCCCATTTCAGGAACTTCCCCTGGGACAGTATGTAGATGCGGCTGGCAAGGGAACCTAGTCCAAGTAAGGAACTGTCTAAAGGCAGAACATACTTGCGCTAGCTGGTTTGGCTCAGTGGATGTAACATTTGCCTGTGGACTGAAAGGTTCCAGCTTCAATTCCTGGCAAGGGCACATGCCCGGATTGTAGACTTGATCCCTAGTCGGGGGCCTCCAGGAGGCAGCTGACCAGTGGTTCTCTCATCATTGATGTTTTTATCTCTCCCTCTCTTTTCCTCTCTGAAATATATATATATATATATATATATATATATATATATATATATATATATATATATATAGATATATATATAGATATAGATATAGATATAGATATAGATATAGATATAGATATAGATATAGATATAGATAGATAGATATAGATAGGTAGATAGATAGAATGCACAACATACACCATGGATTGACTAGCAATTATTTTTTTTTAGAGGGCGGGAGCAAGAAAGGGTGAGAGCGAGAGTGAGAAAGACATTGATTTATTGTTCCATTTAATTAGGCATTCATTGGTTTCTTCTGTGTGCCATAACTGGGGATCAATCCTGCAACCTTGGAGTTGATGCTCTAACCTACTGAGCTACCTGACCAGGGCTACCTAGCAACTTTTAAAAGGAAAACTGCCTGTTTTCTCTAAGTAATATATGCTTATTGTAAATATCTCAACAATATAGAAAAGCATAAAGGATAAAGTAAAATTTCCCAATACCACCGATGGTTGCGGTAACATTACTAATATCCTACCATATCGCTTTTCTTTTGCACTTAGCATTCCATGATATACATGTACCATCTTTTACCTCAGAACACATCAGGGGGATA